CTAGCAGTATGGTAGCAGATATCATCCAACTTAGTGTAAGTAGATAAAACACATGCTCAATCATGTCAAGTTAGGTGAAGAAAATGATAAAAGTTGTGGTTATGCCCATCTAAACTTTCAGGAAGATGAACAAATAACACAAAATGTTCTATATAAGAATTGTTTGTAAAATTTTTTTGGCTATAGTAGAAGGAAAAGATACTGAATGTGAGTTCCCACATATGCTGTTGAAATCAATTTTTTATTTGCACTACATGTACTGTACGTTACACCAAATTGGTGAGTTTCATGTAATTTTGAAATCTTTGTTAATTTTCTGAAAACTAAACTGTATTTTGAATGGTTTTATCAATGCTTAAAATGCACTAAAACGTTGTTCTGCTTTTTTTACCTTTTTCAGAGGATAGTGCAAACTCTTGTTTTTTCCCTTTAATTCTTGATTTACAACTTGTAGGTTGATGAAAACGATGATGGTGGTGGGTTTTTGAAATTGTCCGCCACTCAAGCATGGGTCTCAGGTGGTAACTCTGCACCAATCAATAAAAAAGTTGGTGATAAGGTGTGCCTGCTCCAGCTCTTATATTATGAGTTATAGAAGTGATTTTATATGTGGTTTCCATGAACCAGTTTAATTGCTCTGGACTAGTGGCCAGATAAGATCAGCCAATCACTTCTGCAGAAGACTAACTTTCCTTAATTCCTCTATTTTCTTTAACAGATACTTCCAGATGACCGTGAAAGAAGGAAGAAACTAAATTTTCTCAAATATGAAGCTGTATGATACTTGAACTCAGTATGTTCATTGGTTGTTTATGTAAGGTGGTAATACTTTTATGTCATCTAAGATCATCTTGATATAAAATTAATGCCTGCACGTCAATCACTAAACTTGTCCAAAATCAAAATTTCCCATGTTTTTCAAAGTTTGTACGTAATATAAATGGGTCACTAAAAGAGTTGGGGCTGGATTGAATTGGGGCCTACAAAGGTAAGAGCCTCCCAAGGAATTGTTTTCATTTTTGAAACATAGGCGGTTGAATGGACCAAGTCTAGCATAAAAACATTTGGCCCAAACAACCCTTAAACCTATTGTTCGATTGCTTGGGTTGTACTGGCTAGTTGGGCCATAAGCAGACCTTATAATTTTACATTTTTAATAACTGATTTTTAGGAAAAAAATTATGAAATTATTATATGTTTACCTACAAGCTTAAATAAATTACTTTTTTTTAATGGAAATCAGTGATACATTAGTCATTAATAATTCTACGTAAATAATATTCATTATGTATTTGTGCATGATAATACAAAGATATATTACTCCTCAAGTGAAGGATTCAAAGCCCAAGGCAGCTTCTCGACAGAGGCCAAGCTTGGGATTTGTTTTCAAAATCTTTGGTAGTTGGCCCTTCATTGTTTGGAAATTATTATTATTATTATTATTTAACCAATATCGATAAAAATTAACTTCAGAATAAGAACTATATTTAAGATATATTGAAAGTAAATTCAAACATTTGAAAGTATAAGGACTAAAATGAAATGAGATCTAAAGTACATGGACCGAAATGGTATTTTAACCTACTTTTTATAAAGTTTCTATAGTAATTTGTTAAGCATGTAAACTTTCTGTGCTTGCACACTTATTGGTTTACAGATGCTTCCATTTTGTTTTCTTTTCAATTCGCATGGGCAGATCAAGTTTTGCTCCTTACACTACTGTGGCTTTGGCGTTGATTGTATGAGATGCTTTGAGTATAAAATTGATTTGATAAAGTGCTCCCTTATGTAATCTAGTTGCATTTAAAGCTTTTCTCCTTTTCCTTTTTCTTTTCTGGTAATTTACTTTTTGGCTACATCATGAAACTACAGAATAATTGGCTAAAAGTGATGGAAGATGAACATTTTTTACCATTAAAGAATTTGGAAGTTGATCACTAATTCCCTTTTTAACACAGCTCAAGAGGGAACTGATGCTTTTGTCTGTTGGCATTGGAACTGCATGCAGTGGGTATTGCCTGATAGTATTTTCGTTCCAGGTATATTCCAATTGAAGAAGAAAGGGCATTATCTTGTGTGCTACAGTAATTTTTTTGGTTGATTTACAGTTCTTTTAGTACAAAGTAGAAGGAAGGATGCCATTATAGACTGGAGTCATTATATTATAAAGAAGTTGCTATGTTACTTAGACTCCAGTATCTATTTCATTAACATTTATTGGCCTGGATCATCTCATTTTCTTCAAGTGACACCTCACTTTTTCTTGACATGACTCATTAGTTGAGAGGAGCTTGCTTGCTGATGAAGGAATTTATTTGTTTTTTCTGTTCAGGCTGCTATTAGTTATGCAGTAGGAGCCCTTTCGAGGTTAGTTGATATGGTTTTAATGTTGCTGTTATTTTGTAACTTCATTTTGGCATGCTGTGGTTCACTACCAAGAGTTAAGTTTTCATTCCAAGATTTGAAGTTTTCAAATAAGATCTTGGTCAGGATGTAAGAATAAATATTAACTAACAAGACTCTTCCAAAACAATTTCTTGGAGAAGTTTGTAAGAATCAAAGTGACCTCTAGTCAAATCAGTTTTTGCCTCCTACGGAGGAAAAAAAAAAAAAATATATCCGTTCTTAAATTGTGATTAGATTTCTATTGCACAATTATCAGAGAAACCTTGTTATTTTGTTGTAATTGTGCAATAACATCTGGGATTATCTCTAATGCAGCTGCTTATACCTCCAGTTATTATATCGACATGCTGACAAACTATCTAAAGACATGGTTCCCGATATCTTCACGCAGAAAAAGACAAAAAAGTATGGATAAATCCCATAGTCGATCTATTTGTTTATTGAGTATAACTTGTTTGTCACAATCAACATTCATTCTTTGAGCCAGAATTGGAATAAGAAGTGAAGATATCCAGAACGTGTTTGAAAAATCAGTGAGGGGAAGTAGCATTGCCCTGTCATCTCCTAGGCTTTTGATTCCTGCTGCAATATATGCAATATGGATCCTCTCTCATAAATATCTTGCCAACGACTTCTTCGACTTCCAGGTAACAAATGACTGTGTGGACCTTTTTGTTTGATATAATGTTTTAACCAATTGAACTAGTCTCGAGTTAAAAAGACTATATTTATTTTAAATGCATGTAGCCCCAAAAATAACACTCGGATGTTTTCATGTGATTCTCTTCCTGTGTTTAGCTCACGCCAGCCATGGTTGGGATGTTTGTCTATAAAGCAGCTGCACTTGTTCAAGTTTACAGGGACAATGAAAACCTGAGATTGGACTTTCCAGAAAATGATGGGGGCTCGGCATGACTGCACCACGCTTTTCGACATTAACCAGAGACAAATGACCTGCCCATTTTATGTTCGAAGCAACTGCTGGTTGTGTCTAAGAAGTCTGCACATGCGGACCCCAGGTCAGCGTCTTAACTCCCTTTCCTACACCATAACTGATATGGAGATGATATGCAGACGTTCAGTAATTCAATCAAACACCATTGGGATTAAGTACTATGCCATTTCATGTTTTAGTGCACAAATGTTTGGTTGCTTAGTGAAGAGAAGAATTAAAGTGCCCTGTTTCTGCCATTACTGAACCCCAGTTGTTGGTCGAGTCGGTTTTAGCTAGGCCAGGGATTGATATGTTATTTATGAGTTATATGATTGAACTTTTTCTAAGATTTATTTTGGCAATCATCAGATTATAGCAATGACCATTGTTTTTTTTTTTTTTTTTTAATTGGCCCTGGATGAGTAGGGAGGGGGTTGCTTGGTAGCTCTTTCGGGATGTATTACTCGTTAAATTTGTTTATAGGAGACAATTTCGTTAATACTAAGTATATAGATTGGATGTTTTCATATTTTTCGTATAAAAGTTTCTATTTTATTTCTAATGCATTATCTGCATTTTTTATGAACACCAATAAAAAAAAATAACAAGACATTATGTACAAATTACTACAGAGCTCGTACAATTATTGAGTTTGATTCTATTGATTCTATTGGGTTAGTAATAATATTTTTACATTATCAACTTATTTCATTCTATATATATATATATCATAAGAGAAAGGCTTCTCATTCCCATTAATGTGGAGGCCCCTCTTAGTTCTCTTTATTAAAGGGAAGCTGCTATAAGTTGAAAAGGGAAAAAACCCAGTGAATTGAGTAACAAACCTAACCACATGAATATAACAACATAAGTTCCATCATAATTAGAGAAGAGATCCAAAGAAGAACCATGTGGCAAAGGATCCGGAACGTCACCACGCCACCCGAACGACCCAAGAAACACAACACTTCGATTCTTCGATAGCCCTACAAGACACTCTAGAGAGATTCACACTAAAAAAAAGTAATAGGGGAGGGAGCAGCTTTAGCTGGTAAAAAGTAATAGATTGACCCGCAATAATACCTACGGCTTCTCCCAATTCGACCAGGTCAACCGAACGTGAGCTGCTATATCGAATCCCCCGCTGCCCATCGGGCAAGAAGTTCACTGATTATGAGACAAGGTATACGGTTCATGAGCCCGAAAGCGAAGCGCTATGCCGGGGCGGGGGGACGGGACAAGAAACGGCGATTCAGTCCCTACCTCTGAAAGCAGAAGGAAGGCTTTCCCCCAGATCAATGAAGATGGGAGAAGTGTATTCTTCCGAATCCCCGAAATCGTTACTATCTTGTTACATTAAAAAGTTTGGAGATTATCTATAAAATATCGATAGACAATTTTCATCCATATATTTTGGCAAGATTTTTTTTATAAAAATAAAGAGCGTTAATTTCATGGATATTTTCTAAACCTAATACTTAGGATAAAAGTATTTTTGATTTGAGGTAATATTGATTTTCATAAATTTATTTTTGACATCTTAATATATTTTTTTACACAATATTATTAAAATTATATATAATATATATTTTGAAAAATATGTTTTGATTAATTTAGCCGGCGCTTAGTGGGCGTTGGGGTGGAAGGGCAGGTGTGTCATTTATGCAGCCGGTGGGCATCTCTACGGAACGGCGAGATGAACCAGCAAGAGCCACGAGGTGATTCCATTTCCATGTGCGCATCCACACCCATATTATTGTGATCAAGTTCCCTATCCCTCCAACGCCCTTTCCCCCCCAACTGAGCTCCTCCAGATCTTGCATCCATCCATGGCTCCTCGTAAACCCCGCGAGCCTCAAGTCCTCGAATCCTTCTACCCTCTCCTTGCTCTTGTCTTCCTTCTAGTTGCCTGCACCGAGCTCTGTGACGCCGCCGCTGTCGTCGATGTCTATCGCCTCATTCACTACGATATCTCTGGCGTTCCCTTTGGATCCCGCGCCGCTTCACTCAATCACCATGCTGCCTCTCTTCATTTTCCCCCTGCTGCTGCTGCTGCTGATCTCTCTCGCACCGTTTTCATCATTCCTCTTTGTGAACTCAACTTCACCTTCGTCAAAGGTACACCGTTCTTTTCTTTTTGCTACTTCCCGACTCCCTTTATGCACTTTGTCGTTATCTAAACCACTACACTTTCTTAGTAGCGTGTGGAGATTTTAGGAACTGTGTTTTAACTGTTGCGGCTTGAATTACTTTCGTAGATACAGTTTTAGATTAACTTCGTTTGTTGTGGGGAAATTTCGTTCACGACCCGGCTTCAATGCCTGAACAAGTCTATGAAGTAGTTCACCCTTTGAGTATTCGCATTGGAATATGCGAAATGTGGGAGGTTTTATCTTCTTTCTATTATCGAACAATAGCGTGCTTGCAGAATTGCAGAACTTCGTTAATCTAATTTCTCCTCTATTTGAAGGATGAAGAATATGACTGTTCTTACTTTTTAACTTCTCACATATTAGAAATCCTGCCTGTTTCTCTCAGTGAGAAGATTATGTGATCTTATATGTTATAAGAATTGTGGGTTTACCATTACCGCTCTTCTTTCTTCTGTTGGTAACCAGGATATCTTTTTGGTCTTGTGCAGAATGTTTATCTCAAAGAAAGCGTTTGGGAGGTCTTCTGATCTTGCTTCCCAAGATTCTTGGCTCGGATGGCCCGAAAAATGATGACTTTAAATGTCCACAAAATGGAGATGGGATGATTAAGGATCTACTGGTTGAACTTGAACGGTTGCTCATACATGCTACTCTACCTGTAAGTGAATTGAAAATAACTTCTGGTTGAAACATTTAAGCATTTCACTTCTTTTTATATCAATGACCACCGTCTTGTATTCCCTTACTGCAATTTCTATTTTCAATTTCTATAACGAATTTGTGTTTCTGAAAGTATCTGTGTCGTTCCAGTACCCTGTATATTTTGCTTCAGAAGGTGAAGATATTAATGCTGTTTTGGCTGATGTCAAGAGCAATGATGCCACTGGTCAGCTTGCAACTGCAACTACTGGCGGGTTAGTTGAATTTATTATGAAATTTTGGGCGCTTTAGTAGATTTTATGTGGATAACGGAAATCACAACAGAGGTAGGAAAGAATGGTGGCTATTTTTGGGATCTCAATATATTTTTATAATTTATAGTAGTTTTCTACTATAATTTATATTTTAATTCAGATTTGATATGATTATTAAGGGTTCTTTTTGCTACTGCATAAGCCTTCTATTGCAACAGACAACAACATAAGTATTGGATATTAAATTATATTATGTTTCTCCTACTTATGTTTTATTTTCGCCACTATCTCCTATCCTCCCCTTTTCACTTCGTCAATTCCCCCTTTGCATACAAGATTTGCGATGTTTTTCCTGTTATTTTCCTTTATTAGTTCATACTGAAGGAATTAACTACCAATGATTGTGATCTCAATTTTTTTGGAAATTTTGATCTAGGTATCGATGTGAATTAATATTTTGGAAAAATTATAGAAATCAATAGAGTTTCTGCACTTCTTAAATAACTTATGAAATTCTTTTGGATTGGAGCCCCATTTTGTATTTGGGGTTTGGGGTTATTTTTTTTTCTTGGACTTGTTTTTTCTTTCTATGCTCATGTATATCTTTTCATCTCTCTCAATGAAAGCCTGGTTATTTTTAAATTTTTTTTATTTAATAAAAAAACTTATAAAATTGTGATTATTTTTTTTGTGAAATTCTTAATATGTCTCGACACTTTTGATGTTTAATTGAAATTTACACCATGTTAAAAAGAAAATCTATCAGCCTTTAGTATTGATTTGATATCAAATCATTCAGTTTTGCATTAAAAGAAGTACATGCAGTATAAACTGTTTTTGTGCCATTTGCAACTGTTTTTTTTTTTTTTTTTTTTTTTTTTTTTTTTTTTTTTTTTTTTTTTTTTTTTTTTTTTTTTTTTTTTTTTTTT